GAGCGTAGCTCCGCGGTGACTGTTCCTCCAAGGAGTTGGGCAGGTCTCGACTTCCATCGCACTACCAAGGATATTCGTAATTTGCCCATCGCTCCCGATCTGAGCTACCCTTCTGTAGGAAGGTAAACTGCGTGAGAACTGGATTATAAACAAGTTAATCTGCTGGGAGTCAGCCGTATGTTTTTACATTCATACAGTTTAGGCCTTTAAGCGACACTTGGTATAGGAATAAGCTTAATAGTTGACGGAACATCTCCCCTACCTGTATACGCGTGATTGACGCTCATAAGCAGTAGCCTTACCAATATGGACACAATAATTAAGGATTTAGCACCAACTCTCGAGTCGTCGATGCACAAGCTGGTTTCCTATCCTGACTTCCTAGTCTCGATGTTGCTGCCACGGCTAATTTGTTATCAGGCACAAGTGGGCGAATTATTGCAAACAACCAACAAGAAAACTTAGGCAAACGTAATCACCGTAGTTTTGTCATAAGACGTGAAAGTGAAGCTAACAGAGATGCAAAGAATAATGTTAAGTTAGGTAACGAAGTTAACCAAATACGCACATACACACTGCATGAAATGTAACGCCTAAAGGTAGTTTGTTTACAGTGACTCATGTATTTGACTCATAAAGGGTTGTAAGAGAAAATTAAATATTGAGGCGTGGAGTCCGTGCGCGACCGTTAATTGTAAAAAGCCAGGTGGACCGTTCACCTAGCATCAAAATCTACGTCATAGTCGGGTGAATTCTCTTTGACTGGAGGATGGGTTTTCGAAAGACCTCTGATCTTATTATATCGTCAAACTAACTGAGAATGTCAGTTAGGAATATATGCATCTTTGTCACCTTGTTAGCATCTTTTGCCTTGGCGATTCAAAAACCACCCAAGAAATAGGCCAATGCAGGACAGAATATGGCCGTTCGATTACGTCTTGTAGCCCAGGGTGTGCTGACAGTGATAAATAAGGCAAAATGGGCCTCCAAAATCGTTTGTCACGAATACTTTCGGCTATAAAACCGGTTTGCCGCCTCGCAGTAGGTAACTACTGCTTTCTTATCCGCACTTTGTTTCGTCCAAAACCCTGACGGGGATCCAGCAAGTTGGGTCAATAAATTACTGGTGCGCTACCGGCACAAGTGTCATAATATACTCCAACAAAGGGGTGCGTTGCGGGAACTAGTGGTTGAGGCGAGTTAGTAGTTTGTTATAAAGGTTTCTGCAGTCTAATCCACTAATAATTCCATCCGTCGTAAACAACGAGAACTATCACTGTCTAGGACGGGACGCGGTTGTGAGTCGTGAGTGTGGCTACAGTGAGGCAGATTTGCGTTGCATCTATCTCACTTTGTTCTTCCCGCGCCGACCATGTTCAAATGGGTCAACTAAATCAGAAGTCGTTTATGCCTGCCCTTCAGTTGTGAGTGGGATTGAGCTATCCTGTCAGTTGCCAAACCTTCAAGTCACGACTGTTTACGTGTTTTGAGAAGAGTGAAGTGCTCAGCGGATCAAGGGGATTGCATTTCAGCTAACAGAGACGCAAAGAATGTTGTGAGCGTTTAGAAGTGTCCATGGTTGTTCATAATGAGAAAACTAACCGTGGGACCTGAGCTGATGGGACCTAAAGCACCAGTCAGTTGAGGGCAAATGTCAATGCTTGATTTCAACCAGACGAGTTTCACTCCTAACTGACAAATGCGCACTAAATGTGCAGATGTCAGCTGAACACTCAAAAAGCAGGACGAACAACTTTGGCAAATCCAGAAAAGTTCGGTATCCCACACGGTAGCATGAACATGGCAGGTCATCTGGCCCTCAAGGAAACCCGCTAACTAAGCACTAGAGTTGGTGTCGCTGCCGGATGGGCAGACAGAGCAAGCGGTGGCAAATGGAAGAGAGAAACGGGTCAGCTCAGCACAGTGAAGAGGCGCGCACACAGTCTAGGGACGACAATTAGGTCACCACAGTGTTGAAATGTAAACAGTAGGATCTCATTGGCGGTGCGACGACCTCCACCGCCACCATCACCCCACCAGAAATCAACACTCACACACCTCCTGCACCCAACTGCCACCTCCCACGCAAGTGGGAAGTCCGCATCTCGACTCGGTCCCCATGCGGCTTCGGCAGCACGGGTGACTTGAGTCCGAGAATATCCCGACACGTCCAGCGTCGTGGATAGGAAGGTTGCTGATTGACGCCCGCTCTCGGTTCACGCAGTTCGTCGCGTTGTGTGTAGTGGCGGACTGGTGGGCTGGGGACGGGCTAAAACAGCACCTTCCACGGCACTCTCATGCAAGTGAGAGAGGCGCCGTTCAACCCCCGTTGTGTGAAATCCTGGTGTTTGTGTGTATGGAGGGCCAGGTCGTGCCGTGGCGCGCGCAGTCATGGTCAGTCGACAATGACAGCCAGCGCGCCCATTCCCCACTCCAGTCTGCTGACCGGCTTGGACAGCGGCTGGGGTGTGGGAGTGGGAAGGGAGAGTGAGGTCGACGACTTAGCGCACTTCCTCCTCACTATAAACAATCTGACGCGCTTGAAGTTATCACGGTGCGCTAAAAGCCGTGGCTCGGAAGGTTGCCAACTGACGGGGTAACTTGGACCTCCTCCTTGACCGGAGGCGGTCTGAGAGTCAGGCTGCAATGGCTCCTTTTTAATGTGGCCTTTATGGCACTCCCATCACAGTGTGGGATCCGAGCAAGGCGTTGGCGGCACGCCCAGGTGCGGCTTCGGCCGTGCCAGCCTCCAAATCTCTGTTGTTATTGGTTGAAATCCTGGTTATTTGTTGTGTGGACCAGGGGGTGTGGTGGAACGCCAAGGTGAGGATCCGTCCGAGCCATCCACCTGCGGCCTCCCTCGTCTCCGGTCTTTTTGACTCTGTCTTGACACCGGGCTCGGGCGAGGGAGGAGGAGAGAGTGTAGGTAGATGCTACGCAAGTCTACCGGCACTATAAACCCCTGCGTAAGTCACCGTCCCTGCTCTCATTGCTGCTGCAACTGTGGGGCACACGGTGGACATCATCAAAACCGATGGTCGAACTGTCAAACCCAATATATATGCATACATATATATGTCGGCGGAATAACATTACCAAAGACCAGGAAGACTGAAATGAAAATTTCTTGCTTGTTAACCGTCAGCGGCAAACACATGATTACATCTCTGGCACGCAAGAAATATGTCGGCTGCGTACATAGCTATTCTACTAGTACAAACACCACCAACACAGTTACTTAACTTCGCGCTAACACGTCAAAAAGGCTCGGGTGTAATACTGATCTTACACTGCACGCATATAAGACACTCAGATACTAATGCAAGTCAATGACAAGATAGTGAACTTACCATCAACCATAGCATCGAACTTGGCCTTTTGGCTGTCCAAGTTTATTGTGGAGGTGTTTTTTGCGGCCTTTAAAAAGGAAGAGGAGGGAGATAAGCATATCTCCTGGGCATGACCTATGATTCAGACAAATAGGAGATCCTCCGACAAGTCGAATTAAAAAAGGAGCACTAAGGCTGCACTTGTAGACGAAACCGAGCAAGCTCGAAACCATCATAGACAGTCAATTCTGACTCAATTAAGGCAATTCGATAAATAACTGGTCTCCATGTCAGAACAGAATACCTAGTTCCATGAGAAGAATAAAGGCAAATTTTAGGTGACCATCCCATTACTGCTTAATCATTATGCCGGTTCTTTTTGCACCCATCACAAACTACCCTACTTGAGCAATTCCTTGACAGATTACAGTAGATGACCTAACTCATGAAATGCGAGATCGGTGTCGGAGTTGGTGGTACGGTATATAATAGGTGTGTATGGAGACAAAAATTTTGATTTCGCGTTCATGAGAATCAGGTCAAAGCAGGTAGCTAAGAAGGTATTATTTCCATGAAATAAGAAGCAATCTGCTCTTTACAAATTCTATTTAGCAAAACTTTAATGCTTTATATCGTTAAACGCAGCAATAAGCTCGTTCGGTAGAACTTGTTTTACCACACCGGAAATTAGTAAGCGTAAACACGTATATATAGATTGCGCACTACACGCTGACACCTTTCTGTGCTACGCCGTGCAAATAAGTCGAAGCAGTTCCTACCGGAATTTGATTTTGGGGGCACACGAAAATTGGCAGGCGAAGAGCTGCGCGTAAGTCCATAGCTAGTATTTTCAATATTTGCGAGGCCACTCTGTGGAGGATTATAAACAGTAAAACAGTGCCTAGAGTTAAGCAGGGTGGACCAAAATGGTCCACAAGTAAGCTAGACGACAATTTTATTCGCCGAATACCAAAAAGTGTCATTATACTCCTCTTAAAGCTATTCACAGGGAATACTTGTCAGTGTTTTTTATGCGCACAATCAGAATCAGGATGAAGAAATTCGGACACCCTCGGCAAAATGCTATGACCAAGCCGTTTTTCTATAGGAAACTAACTAGAGGGCGTTATTGGCCCACGAATATATGAATTACAAACTTTCACTTCGGATGAGCGGTTACTCCTGTGATTAAGTCTTATTTTTAGACAAGC